ATATTTATTATAGTTTACAAAAATCAGAAATAAAAATACCCATTTAGACCTATTAAAAGTGATGATGGGCATTAAATACTCATTTTAACACATTAGATGATACAATTATGTGACAGCATAAAGTGTTTGGGTCCTCCCATTGTTTTTAATAGGAGATGGTTATATAATTGCATACCACTTAACATAACCTCCAGTTGTGGTTCCATAAGAGACAATAGTTCATTTTATTAATGCTTCATAAGAGGTTTACAGCAATATTATTTTTAGTAGTAGTCTCTGTAATGCTTTCCTGAATCTACAACATTTCTCCTCCGGCTGTTTCACTCTTTAGCTCACAGCATTGTTTTGAGAAAAACAATCATGGTGGGCACGGAAAAATCTGTTTGAGGAGGATTTAAAAAAGAAATCCGAAGTTCAGCAGAGATTATATTTTCATTTGCCGTTGGAAAGCTGTGTCTTTCCAAGGGAGGTGGATTGAGCACCCTGTCAGAGAGAAGCAACTATAAACAACAGTTGGTCACCGTAGTGCTGTTAAACAAACATAGACGATGGGAGTCTTGCTCAACGTGAGATCCCCCTTGCTCTGAGAAGGGTTCAAGGACATGACTGAGGGCAGACTCTCCAGTACAGTGCCTCAGTGAAGCAGAGTCCTAGGGTCTGTCTATAACTCATGGTGGGGCTCTTGGGGCTGCTCTGATTTGTGTGGACTAGCAGCAGTCCTCAAGAGACCTTCCCAAAACCCACCCACAATCACAGGACACCCTTATATCTCTCGTCTCTCTTCAGTGAGGAGGAAGGCATAAAACCCTGTGGGATTTGGTGGTAATGGATGAACATCCATGCTTTTCAGAAGGATAGCTGCCCCGTGTAGACAGTACACCTTAGATATGTGCAGCGTACTGTTGGCGGTCTTCTGATTCGTGATGTGCAGAGAGACTTGTTGCCATAAAAATGAAAAAAGGGCTCAAATCCCTTAATCTGAGGATTAAAGAGCAAAACAATAGAACTATATTTTAACACTTTGAAAAACCTACAGTGCTGTTTTTTGAATGAGGCCAGAGATTGATAACATTTAGCCTATCGAACTCCAGCTCACTTGAAAGGAGGTTTTGTTGTGGAACCGCTCGATTATTGGGTTCTTTGTGAGCAAAACTGCATCCTTGAGGAGTTTAGACCAACCTGCACTCTGAGGAATCTGCCATTTGTTTCAGCTGCAGTTTAGTTGAACGGATGAGGTCATCAGGCCATTAACACTAATTATTTTGGTGAATGTTTATTTTCCAGAGAGAGCTTTGTGCTCCTCTGGCAGTTCTGGTGAATCTCAAGGAACATGAGGGTGGGATCTCCGTGCAGATGGAAACTTCCATCAAGCTTCCCTGAAGGGATGTGGATTGCTTTCCTCCCAAAAGCAAATCAGAGAGCAGCAGCAGACTGGTTTTTGCGCTACCTTTTTCTAACTCCAGGCTTTGTGTTTTTCACCATCCTACACACCTTGCTGCCTGTGGTCACCTAATTGATGGCAAGAGACTGCTTGTCAAAGGGACAAGTTCTTGGGGAAGTGCATTTTGCAAGATCAGGTGTCACTTTATAGATATTGTGCTCTGCTGTTTAGTGCATTTTCTCCTTGGGCCTTGATTCCTCCTGCTATTTTAAGATCATGGAAGCCTTTCAATGTCAGGCTTGTAGTGTTTCTACAGTAGGAGATGCATTACTGTGCCATTAAAGCCTTCATGACCATGTCCCCTCAGTGCCTCGTGCTTCATTAACAGTGCTCTTTGGTTACTGCATGACCACCAGCTTCCTTGGAGTCACCTGGGGAGGGCATCGTTAGAATAACTCGCTAAAACCAGGGGCAGATCCATAGCTGTAGGATCCTCGACCTGCGTGTATGGGCTCCCACACAGGGGAGCAAAGAGATGGTCCAGGGCAGTTGATTCCCCGGAACGCAGGATGGGCCACAGCTTGTGCACAGCAAGTCTTCAGTGCCGCCCGCGCTGACTAAATCATGCAACATGTACCAAAAATGAAAGCTTTTCATACTAAAATTTATTCTTTCCTGCCCCCGAGGTCTTTGTTAGCAAACAAGATGGTAGCGCATAAAGGAGGACACAACTGCAGAGCTCAGCTCCTTATACAAAGGCATGCTGAAAATGTTGCAACAGCAGAAAAACATTCTTCCTCCCCCACCCCCTCTCATTTTATTATTCTGGTTCAGTGACATTTATTCTGCCACAAATGTCCAATTTGCTGTACAGTGCATATGGTTTACAGAAAGACTAACAAACTAAAATCATATGTTATGTAGAAATCCTTTAACCCRAGAGTGCAGACAGCCCCATATTCACCCAGTCCTTACTAGTTTAGGGATGTGGTCGCAACCACCTGAATATTTTTAGTCATCGGCCTGCTCTGCTTTAACTGGAGGCTGACTTATTAACTGGATCAGGAGATGCTCAGTCTTTAAATGAACTGATCAAATGTCCTGTGCAGTAAATCTTACATAAAGAAAAAGCACAGATGTCAAAGAAAGCACTTAATTTCTTGGCTTAGGACATCCTACATGGGAACTGGTTACTTTTCAGAGTTCCCTGTTGCTGCTGCTTGTTCCTTATTTAGAAAAGGARGGGGTTATTTGGCACTGTGGCTTTTCCCAGTTGTGCAACACCGTTTCAGCCACCAAACCTGGACTGTATGGTTAAGCTTTGTAGGAGAAGGCCCTCACTGCCGGCCTTCAGCACATCCGGTGTTTGCAAGAGATCCCACTAAACAAAGATCTAAGCAGGGCTGTAGCAAGACAGATAAAACAACCTAGCAGATAAATACAATTTCATATACACTAAACAGTAAATACTGATCTGCCTTAGTCATATGAACAGAATTAGCTGAGTTTTCTTCCTCCGAGTCAGTGAGGTTTAGTGCCTCTTTGAGAACAGCCAGAGTTTCCATTGCATGCCATACTGTGTGTGTGTTCTTAGGATGACACTGTAATAGTCCAGAAATAGTTTAATAAGTATTCTAAGATGTATCATCATAAGCCAGTAGCCGGGGTACCAAATCTGTGATGTTACGTAAAAAATACTGGTTACGTAATGGGATTTTTAGCAGTCTAGTGTCATAAATACAATTATTAGAGCATTATTTGGAAGATGACCTCTCTCTGACTTCGGATCAGTTATGCAGCAAGTCAAAGAGGAAGTATCTGCTGTATACACTGGGATTTGCAAGCCGCAGCTCCAGCAGTGTCTAACAACTCCAAGTTCATTTGATTTTCTTTGTCTCTTTGATAGATAAATGTAAATGCATTTGAAACAGCACAGGGAAAAGAAGCAAGGGGGTAATAAGAGCTTTAAGCTGCTCCAAAGTTTCCTTCCTCTTGGGCCATGGTGCTGCTGGGGCAGGCAGGYTTCATGAAGTGCCTTTGGAGCAAGCTGGGGACCTGTGGGGGAAGAGCAGTAGGGATGTCCYCCAGGCAGAGCACCATAAATGCATCCGTTGATGGTGCTGGTCTGGGGATCATGCGGGTAGCGACTGCTCCATGGGCTGTGAAGCCGTGTGGAACCCACAGCCTAAGAGCATCTTAGGAATAAGGTAGCTTGTAAAGAGAGGTGATGAGTTCCCTGGGAAAGAAAGGAATTATACATAGAAATAGATGCATTGCTTTATAACCAGAAAGCGGATTTTGCAGCTTGCAAAATGAAAGCCTTCAAAGGCTTCGTGAAAGCCTTAAGCAGAGCACTATATGAAATTGCAGGGCTTGATGTGAGTGGCAGCCGACCATCTGTCCCCACAGGCTTTCCCCTCAGCTGAGTTTTTACTGGGCTGGAGGGTGTCGTAGCTGGGCTGGAGGAGCTTTTCCAGGCTGAATTAAAAGCAGTCGCACAGATAAAACAAAGGAGGCAACTTCACAAGTTGACCTGAGTGAGTTAACTCAAGTATTTTAATGTCATATGGGGGAGCCGAAGGTGCCTGCCGTAGGAGGTTTGGTGTCGCACATCATCTGTGTCCGTGGAAGGGACAAATTCCTGGCTGCAGAGAAATAAATTGGTAACTGCAAGCTATGATGGAGACCTGGCCAGCTCCAGATCTCTCCTATCCCTTTTCTTTAACCAGAAATCACGTCTTCTCTGCCCCCAAATCCTGCAGCGAGTGTAACCAGAGGGAGGACAAGCAGTGTGTTCACTGTGCAGACCCCATTCCTGTGAGCTCTGACAGCAATCCCACTCCAGGCTATTAAGTGCACCCTGACTGAATGTCATGGTTTAAAAAAAAAAAGCGACGTGGAAGTGGTATTAATCATTGGAGTGCGCCTGGATTTTCCCCTGGCGTGGGATGTGAAAAAGGAGAGATTTCCGCGCCGCGAGATTAAGCAATCCTCGTGGTTTAAGGACTTTAATCTGCTGCTGGCTCGCCTGCCTGCGGGGCCGAGTGCAATTGGATGCAGCTGGGGTTCGGCCACGCGGGTTTTCCCTGCGTGTTCCGCTTGCGTCCCCGTTTTCGGCAAGCAGGGTGGAAGCCCCAAGACGCGCCTGGACGCGAAGCTCCGGAGCTGGGGCCGCGGCGCAGGGAGGGGGCTCCGCGGGGGGACGCGGCTCCGTGCATGAATCCGGCCTTTTGTTTCCGGCACGCATCTGCCTGGAGACGTCGCGGGGCACGGGCCGTCACGTATTGAGATGCAGAAGCTCCTGGCGTCCCCCAAGCCGGCCCATTCGAGTCACATGCCCGAGCTGCCGGCGGAATGGGCTGCAGCTGCTTCCCATCTGCTCGCTAGCGTTCGGAGCGCCTGCACAAACTGCGCCGGCGAGGAGCGGCAACGGATCTGGGATCCGAGCGCGATGCTCGCCGAGGAGCTGTGGCTCGAGGGCGAGAAGAGCTGCGCCGTGGTGCACAAGTCCAAGCGGGGACGGAAGCGCCAGGAGCTCCTGGCCGTGGCCCTGGGAGTGAAGGTGGGAGTGAAGGGGGCACTTCTGTGGCAACCTCTGAAACTCTTTGCCTATTCGCAGATCAGCTCCCTGGTCAGGAGAGCAGCCTTAACTCAGAATGACAACCATTTCAACTACGAAAAAGCACACAATTTTAAGGTAAGCCCAACACGGTTCTGTTAAAAGTTCTGTTGTGATACCTCCCRGTCGTGTATTTTTTTTCTTCTGTGACTGGATTTCCATGTACCAATCTGTATTCCCTCTGTGAAAAGTATTGGAAAAAAAMCATGTTTCTCTCTCCCTTAAGTTCTCTAGACTGCATTCTTAGTGTGCTTTTACATAACTCCATAATGTCAGTTTTGCCATTTGATCTGTGTTTTAGCTCTTTTTTGCCCAGATTTAGTTTTGATTCAGTTCACCAAAAAAAAAAAAAAAAGGATACTTTATACTATCTTTACCTTAAAGTATATCCACTTATAAACGATAGAAAGGGCACTTCTCAAAATTCCAGCTATTATCAGGAGTCATCAGCATTTTAACAGCCAGCCGATTCCTTTGTACCGGTTCTGTTTTGAAGGAATTACAAAAGCCTCGGTGCTCCCTAACCAAAAAGCAGTGTGTGGCCGGGACATTGCTGTCTCCCACCTTTTATTCCGGCACCATATGCTAAGGAACTGCTCTTAAGGATCCCACTGAGCTGCAGGGGCTAAGCATGGGCTCGCATGTCAGGCTGATGCCAAGAGCTGCAGAAATGCAGGGATGTTCACACGGATGCTCTTACTGCTGCCACATCCCTGCAAAGTGGGATTCCTGGGTGTTTTTTTTTTTCTTTTTTCCCAAACGTTGCCTCTGGAGCAAGGAAGTGACTCAGCTCTGGAAGGGGACCTTGCAGGCAGCTCRTTGTGCCAAAAGGGCTGTGCTGGTTTCAGAGCATGCTGAGCAGTTACCCTGTCCCCTGGGGTCACACTTAGCTTGGATGGTTATCAGGGTGGATAGCAAGAGGCAGGCAGGGATCGGGAGACCTACACATCCCAACTCGGAGAGCGGGGTTTGCTCCTGGAGGCTGCACATCTGGATCACAGTCAGGATATTTCTGCTCTTCAGCAGAGAGGCAGTTTTCTCATATCCACCTCTGGCCTGTGAAAAAAGGAGAACCCCGACTAAAGGGACGTCACTGATCTCTTGAGTTAGCAGAGAAGCTTTGCTTCTTATTTCTTCATGTATTTGTCCATGCAGACATTACTCTGCTTTGCAGGGTTTCTACTGAAGTTGGTAAACCTCTTAATTTTCCCGGGTRGTTAAAGTATCTTCTGTTCTTTCTGAGTTTTGCCCTCATTATCATTTTAATATCAAAACTATTTTAGTTTGGCTTAGAAAATATTTTCTCATGACTGAGACTTTTTTCCACTTTGACCCATGCATTCTTTCCCCTTCAAAATTCCCGTTGTTTTGGCTTTGATTTATAATTGGAAATGTGCCCGGTTAACTTTGTGTTTGCACAATCTAGATATTGTACAGTCTCTGTTCCTTTCTGTTTCAAAAGAGTCATAGTTTAAGTGGCAAATCACATGATTAAAATATGTATGTATTCAAAAGCTCAACAGCAGAAAATTATGGTTCTAGGAAAGAATATGAAATTTAAAAAATGTAAGGAAGTAACATTAAAAAATRTGTTATCCAGAAAGAATGGACAGTCTTAAGTGCTTTTTACAGTTACTTGATGGACAAATATATTCACTAGGCAAAAGCAATTGGTTTTCCAAAGAGTATTAAAATATGCCTAGCTGTAAAACAACAAATGTGGATAGAATGCCTAGAGTAGGATATTTAGAGGAGAAACTCTGCTAAATTCAACTCTCCTATCTTTAATCTGATCCTATGTTCATTACAAAATTATTAAGGAATGGTTTAAAAGAGAAAGAATGGCTTAATGATCTTGCAGCAAAATTCTTAATGGTTTTTGACAGCATACAAGTTATGAAGATGGGGGTTGCTCTGAAGGGGGACGCTATTTTGCAGATATTCAAAGAGATGTCTTTCCCATTTTTTAGTGAATACTGACATGTATTGTGTCATTCATTTCAGTTCCTAGGAACAAAGGTTACATGTCACAGTATCCATCATAATCTTGCAATAGGCGAGTCTTTATGAACAAACAGACACTCTTTAACTCTTTTCTTGAAGGTCTGAAGAAACATAGAAATGAATTTTTACTAAATTTTTAAATGAATTTACTAAATTTTATCAATTTTTACTAAAATTGRTAAGATCTTTGCAGATCTTAGACCAAGGATCATATAAGTTCAACTATATATATACATATAAAAAAAAGCACAAGATAAAAAAAGACTCAAAGAGCAAAATTCAGAGTGAGATCTGGATGTCCTTCCATCTCTTCCAAACAACCATCAGCATTAGAAAGCAACCTCACAATACAGAGCACCAGTGCCCCAGGCGACGAACTTCCAAACGGCCGTGCTGTCCAATTCAGATCCCTCTCCCAGATCTCAAGTATCTCCAAGCTGGTGAATGAAAAGAGATGTAGGATTCAGACTGACTTGTAAAGAGCTATTGGGCTGGCCAATGGTAATTCTGAAGTAAAAAAAGTTTTGCAATTTTCTTCAATTCTGCAATTTTGAGTTTAATACCTTCATGAGATTAGACGTGCTAGACCCCCCAGTGATGTGGCTGAAAGAGAGCGGGCAGGAGGAAGGGACCATGCTAAATTTTCCTGTTGCCACCAAAGTGGTGTGAGGCCCCTGCTTACTCCCTCTCAATCGGCCTGGGATGCACAAACCCCCTTAGTCAGGATCATACTGTGCCTTCATCCGGCTTCAGCTCTTGCATCTTGGGACAGTTTGGATCCAGGAGAGAGTTGGGGACCAACCTTGGTGCACRTGTGGTCAGGCTCATGCCCAAGGGTCTGCACGGTGCAGTTTGGGGACATCCCACACATTCCTGCCRGGCTGGGACGTCACAGGAGGCTGAATAAAGCAATTGAATAATCCACGTTTGCCACTGGAACAAGAACAAATCCCACTGTGGGCAAGTTGGCTACTGGAATGAGGGGAGCTGTATGGTGGTACAAATCCCGCCTTGCATTACCCTCTGCAGGGAGACACCACTTTCGAGAGACATAGGTTTGGGGAGAAGCTTCCTTCAGAACCCTTGTGAAGATCCTCTGTATGTGTTTCGACAGAAATAACAGCAGAGTCAGCTTTTCCTCCCTGCAAACATCTCACATTCAGCAGGAGTCCACCACAGAGGAAAGCTGCTCATGTGTTCAAGTGAAAGTCTGCAGAATCTCTTTATTTTCTTTGGATGCAAATAGAAGAGTCTTCAAGCCCAGACAGATAAACACCCAAACTGACCCAGAAGCCAACACCATGTGATTCCTATAAAAAACCACCCATTTCAATTCAAAGCAATTTTTAGTTTATTTCTATTAAAGGATTATTTTATATTGGGGCTCCTTAACCTTTGTCTTAGTTTCTGCCTTTGTAAATACTCTTTATTTAAAATGCCAGACACAGACAGAAACCTAATGACAAAAACTAAACTAGGTATAGGATAAATCCCTTCATTTGGAGGCAARGACACTGGAAGCAAGGTCGGAGCACAGGAAGGCAACGCAAGTAGACCCACAGCAGCCCCAAAGGTAGCCAGCAGAGAGGATGATGATACCAAGGCAATTTCTTTTCAGTTAAAGACTTAGAAAAAGATTGGAAGGCAACAGAGTAGAAAAAGTTAGGAGTTAGACAACGCAGAAACAAAATACAAGACTAAGTAGGAACATATTGCTTATAGTGAATGTATATGTCCATTAAGTAATAGGTCATCTGAAACATCAGTTTGGACATATATGAAGAAATATTCCATTATAAATAATTCTTAACAGTTTAAATTGTATGTAGACCGTAACAAAGCAACCCAAACCTGTGCTSTGTATACACAGAGCTTTCTTGAGAGTACAGAATGGGATAGGGACAATTAATAAATCTTGATAATTTTTCTGAAAATCTAAGTCCATTCCATGTATAATGATGCAGTTGCAAAGGATGCGGCAAAAACTACAAATCCATTTCAGAATGCCAAGACATCTGCCATTGCCTCTCCTTATTTAAAATAGATAAGAGTCAAATCTTGAAAGCAGAATTCCCTTTTACCATGAAAAACTTTGCATGTTGCATCTGCCCAAAGCTTCGGACTGAATTCAAGTGTTACATTTAAAAGGATAGACTTTTTTCATTAATTCTTTGAAATTAATGGCAAGCCAATAGTAAGAGACTGAGTTCAAAACTCTGTCTTAAAAGATTTGTACCTTCATCTAGAAACTTAAGAATGTCTCCCTTTTTCGGTTAACGATAGCAGCTATTACCCTGTTTCAGCTGGAGCAGAAGTCACAAAGACCTACTTTTTTTAAGAGTATCTCGGTGGGGAACCTGCCACTTGAGCCAAATAGCAGAGCAGTGAGAAATWGAAGTTAATGTGCAAGTGGAGGTAGCTTTTAGGGCCACGGGGCTGAGGGAAGCAAGGGGAGGATGGCAGTCAACACATCGCAGCGGGAGCCCTCGYGAGCACTGCTGGCTCTTCCCCGCTACTGGCCCAAGAAATCAAGAAATAATGAGCTACTGTTTTCTAAATGTGCCAAGGCAACATCAGCTGAAATAAGCTTTATGTAAAGTGAGTCAGTAGATATCCTGGCAACTGTGGTGTATGTTTGGCTGTTTAAAAATACTGAGTGAGGCTCAACATCTACTTCTCGTTGGGACTTGGAAACCCCAGCAGGGCAGAAGTTGCAGTTAGCTCTATTCCCATAGCACATGCTTTCCATTCACAGTTAAACCCAGGTGCAGACCCACTAATTATATGATTATCAATCTAAAAATGCAGCCAAAAAATTGTATTTATAGTCTTGCATACACAGTTTTGCACTGAAGGTCACACAGAACATATGCCTTTAACATCAGCTGATGACCTGAGTTTAGTACTGCTGCTTACCCTGGCTGAAAGCCTTGCCTGTAATTCAGGCTGCTTCCTCTGCAAAACAAATTATGAAATAGGCAAGAAGTGATCATGTACGTGTATATATGTATGTGTGTGTATATATGTGTGTGTGTGTGTGCATATATATATATATATATATAAATAAAAGTTCATTGCAAAATTTTCTTTCCCAGGGAAATAAATTTTACTATTTCAGCAAATAAATATGACCTAGTCAGATGTTCCAGTTTTGACCTTTTACTCTCAAATGTGAGGAAGAATTGAAGAAATACTGGTGCTTTAAGCTTGCTCACAAAATTTTCTGTCTGAGCAATTGATCTGGCATAATTTGTGTCAGGCATTTCCAAGTCAAAAAGTCACATTTTTATCCCTAAATCAGAAAGAGAAGACTATCTTAAAGTTACGCTGTTTCATCTTCCTGGATCATGGGATTAACAACACAGACCTGTGTAGGTGTGATGCTGCAGAGAAACGAGGCTAAAACATTAGCAAGCCAAATGCRTGGCTTAAAGCTCAAGCAGGTTTATTTGAGACGGGCAGCAACTCCCTTTCCCAGCTGAAGATCACTTTACGAGAAGCAAAACGACTGCTCCCCCGTGCCAGCGGCTGGAAGCCGCCGTTCAGCACCGGGCAGGATCAGTGAACGTAAACACAGAGAGGGAAAACGAAGCGTTAGCAGCCCGAGTGCTCATGATTTATGTCTTTCTAAGCTCAATTAAGTCCCTGGCCAGRCCTAGTTTGTACCACGTCCGTTTACACAGGCACAGGCCTCGCTATTTACTCTTCTTCCCGGTGAAAACCAACTGCTTACTTTACCAGAACGTATATCTTAAATAAAAAGGTCTTCCATCATAGCCCTTGAAGTTTTTACTGAGAAAGTGGGGTTGTGACAAAACACATCAGAGACAACAGCACAATCTGTCCACCTGCCACAGGTCTCTTTTTTCCATATTTACTGTTAGGTGAACTGCAGCAGCATGAAGTTTAGTGTGCTTAAAAAGGACCTAGCAGCATCTTCTGCCTGTGAGAGAGTGTTTACTTACTAGATTTTGGGAAGGRTGCAGTTTGCCCATGCCACTGATGGATTCAAGTGTGCAAAATCAGATCAATGCCCAACCATCACCTGCAATAAGTGCACAAATCACCCGTTATTTCCTTTGGTGCAGTGACACCCTTGAATTTTGTTTGCTGTCCTTGTGCACACATGTGTATGTAACACCATAGTCACAGTTAAGCCCTGTGTGGCGTTGCAAGCACCACCACGCAGGTATTCACAGCGTAACTGCTTGGAGAAAGCATTGGTTTTCCACTAGCTCTGCAGGTACATTCGGAAGCAGCAGGTCGTGTGATTGCAGGGATGTTCTGTCCCTCCATCCTCCTTGCTCCCAAGTGAGCTCCTGGAGAGAGTGTGAACCTCTGGAGCTGCCCTGCTTGCTTTGAGCTAGTCGAGCAAGAGCACTGACAGCCATCCTTCGGGTGGTTAATTTTGCCTTCTTTTTCCCTCTTTGACTAGTGAACCTGGTTTCCTCTGCTCTGCTCTAGCTGAAATGTCGACCAGCAAAAATGATTTGGTTTCAGTGTCACACACAGCCCACTCCTCTGTTATGTTAAGCCTATTGAAAGATAAACTTGGAGATCAAAGCAAATTTCTGTTCCCATGGTTTATTTCATCCAGACTTTGGAAAGCTGTGGGCACTGTATGCTATAGATTTACTCCTACRGAGTCCTCTGTTGTTTATCCATTTTACTCATTCCATCTGTCAGACCATCTGCCTCCCCGTGACCCTGTTTTTTTCTTTTTCCCCCCTCTTTGCATTACAGGTCCACACATTTCGAGGTCCGCACTGGTGCGAGTACTGTGCCAACTTCATGTGGGGTCTCATTGCTCAGGGAGTGAGATGTTCAGGTAGGTCTTACCTTGCTGTGGAAATGCTGAGCTATACGTACACCTCCCACCTTGTGTATGTATAGCCTGGGAGYCCTAGGGACTAATGTGCACAACGGGGCCAGAAATCCCCCTGACATCCCCCTAGTGACATGTTGGTCTTGCCCAGGCCTAGGGTGCAAACTATGAATCCTTCTTGCTTTCTTGAGGATTTTGCCTGGAAATGCCATCCAGCTTCATAACTCATGCCACTAACTGTTGAAAAGTGCCCTTGTCTGAAAAAAAAAAAAAGCCCTGCCACCTGTTTTCTATAMAAATACTATGTGTTGCTGCAAGCCTTAAATATGCTACCTTAAGGGAAATCAAAAAATATGACCTTTGTTGTCCCAGAAGGATTTGTTTTCTGGTGCCTCTGAACTGTATTAGCATTTTAATGGTTTTTTAATTATTTTAAATGTGTTTGTTGTGGTGTGAGAAAGAATGCAACAARCGTTAGCTCATGAGCTTTTTGATTCAGGGACTGAAATCACATTTGGTGCCTTGCAGATGCATTTCATAACTTCGTTCTTTTATTCAGCTGACTCTGTGGCCATATTACCTTTCCCTGCCCTAACTTCTGCGGGGTCCTGAACTCAGGTTGGCACCTAGCATGTTTGACCCTGACGTCTGCTTTTATAGGCTGGAAGAGGTGATTATTACATACAAGTTAGCCACCAGTCTGAAGAGTCAAAATACCTTTCAGAAATGTGAAGTATTTGGGAGTGAAAGAGAAAGAAGGAGAGAAGGAGAGGAAAGAAAGAAAGAAAGAAAGAAAGAAAGAAAG